TTAAATATTTAAAGCACATACAAACTGACGAATATTTTGAATCTCAATCAGAAAAAATAATTACATCTGATCGTACATTAGAAAGACTTAAGAACACTCGTCTCACAAAAGAATCACTAGGAAAGTTATTAATAAATCAAAATCATATTTCTACGATACACAAAAATCGTATTTGTTCATTGACAGAAAATTGTACATCGTTTTTTCCTATGTGGCAATTCATATTGGAGTAAGTATTAAATATAATTGAATATTTTATAACGAAATGTTACTTTAAAATTTGTATTATATTTTAGAGAAGGTTACAGTCTGCTACTTCATGGAGTAGGTTCAAAAAGAAATTTGATAAATGATTTTCATAATGAGATTATAGAAGATTATCCAACATTAGTTATAAATGGATTTTTTCCTAGTTTAACACTAAAAGATGTATGTTAACTCTATTATTAATTAAAAAGATATGTACGAAAGTTCTATATTAAATGTTATTTCAGATACTTGATAACATAATAATTGATTTGTTAGATTTAAATTGTCCAACAAATCTTAATGATTGTTTAGAACTTATAGAAACAGTTATGGGAGATAATCCGGATGATCGACTTTATTTATTAATTCATAATATTGATGGAGTAATGCTGCGTTCGAATAAAGCTCAAAATATACTTGCCAGTTTAGCAGCCATTCCAAATATTCATATCCTAGCATCTGTTGATCATATAAATGCACCACTTCGTAAGTTACATTTATCATATTTATGCTGATTTGAAAGTTGATTTATTACTAATTAATGTCGCTAATTTATTGATTTAGTTTGGGACCATGTAAAATGCGCCAAGTTTAATTTTTATTGGTGGGATGCAACAACATTATTGCCATATCAAGCGGAAACATCATATGAAAGTTCCTTATTAGTTCAGCAAAGTAGTGGACTCATGTTATCCTCTCTCCAGAATGTCTTCCTGTCCCTCACGTCAAATGCTCGAGCAATTTATTTGATTCTTGTCGAATATCAATTGAGCAACAGCAGTAGTAATTTCACAGGTAATTATTATTCAATCAATTACTATTCTATTATATCATATTAACTATATTTAATGATAATTTGATGATGATGCCATTTTAGGAATGCCATTTAGGGATCTATATCGAGCAGCACGCGAACAGTTTCTAGTTAGTTCCGATTTGACATTAAGGGCACAGTTAACTGAATTCATTGATCATAAATTGCTAAGAATTAAACGTACAGTTGATGGCGTTGAACATCTGACGATACCTCTTGATAAGTCTCTTCTTAAACAATTTATGGAACAACATGGATCATAATTGATGAACATAAGAAAAAGTATATTTTTATAATAGTTGTAATTTTTATGATAGTTATAAGGAAAATAATAGTTTAATGACTGAATTAAACTTTTAATTTCTTTATTACATATCACTAATTTATCGCATTTTATTTTTCGTTCATTGTATTTTATATAAAAAATATTTCATAAAAAGTTATATAAACACCAATAATGTGATATTAAAGATCGACAATCTTAAAAATTCGTATAATTTAAATTTAGATTTAATTCATACAATGCTTATGACATTAATTTTATGATTTATTATTATCCTGATGTTTAATATGTATCTACTTGCATTTAGAACCTAATAATATTCACGTTCAATTTAAAACTGCAATTTTGTTATTCAGATTTGATTATTCGTGTAAGCGATAATTATGGAAAAAAATTTTACAATATATATTGCATCTTAAATATGCATTTTTATTGATGAAATATGAATCATTTAATGTGGCGAATTTTAAATTGCATCAAAAGTTAATTATTTAAATACTTAGTAATAAAAAAATTAATTTGTATATCGAATATTGGTCAATTATCTCTCTATTGATTGTAAAAAAAAAAATTGTAACCAAAAAATTCCTTGAAGTCACAGTTGATTCTTAATATCTTATTAGTATGATCTTTATAAAATTTCCTTATAGAAGCAAAAAATTGAGGGACAACATCACACGGTGTTCCCAAGCGGTCACCCATCCAAGTACTAATCGTGCTCAACGTTGCTTGACTTCAGTGATCGGACGAGAACTGGTACTTTCAACGTGATTTGGAAGTTGTCCGATTACCCAAGCTATTTGAGAATGGTTTTATTTGATTCATAATCGCCTTCACACTTTCATTATTTTATGTAGCAACATAATAAATAATTTAATGTATTATTATATTTAAAAAATGAAATTATGAACAAATCTGAATGATTACAAATTTTTAAATTGAATCTTGTCAATCTCCTTAGCTTTTTATTTATTTTTCTATGTTTGAATTTTATTCGTTGAAGCTTTTTAATTTACTTTATTTTTAAATTTCAAGAAAAAAATGTTATATAAACAGGCTTATAGTAAATGAAAAATGGCTTTATTGAAATTATAATGAAAATACAAAAATAACTAACTTCTTTGATATCACATAGAAATAGATTATGTACATTATAAATCCATTCCAAAATATTGTTTCCTTGTTACAAATCCAAGACATCTATGAAAAATAGAATATGTTGCATTTTATTATTCATTGTGAAAAATAAGTCACACGTGGGCTGCGGTCAAAGTGTCACTATAAATGCTTTGAAGCGTTTGGTTGGCCAATTAGAAAAAAGAATTTTACAAATTGACCAATCAAAAATTGTTTTAAAGCATTTGTAGCATCGCGTTAACCGTAATTCGTAATCAAGAGACGGTAGTGCACACATGCGCAGTCTAATGAAATTGTTCCGCCGATCACGCGACTTGCGGAGCACACGAAATTAACGCGAGTCAAATGAAGGCGCCAACGTGTCCGTGTTTAGAGGACTATTTTTATACGTGATAAGTGAACGATATACGAAAGAAGTTATTTAATGTGATCGCACAATGAACAACAAGACACCGCTTCCACGCGCAAATATAGTCACTTCTGAAATGTCGTTTTCGTTGCGACGTGCTTCGGCGAAATCTGGACAGAATAGCGATGTTAGGTTATGCGCCTCGAAGCGCGGCACTGCGAAGTTGTCCGATTCACGTCGATTGCGACTTCGATAATCGCAACAGTTCGAAAGTCGCGATCGGCGCCAACGGTTAGTCGGTTCGTCGTAGATGCGTGAGCTCCATTTCTCTTTCGTGGACGAAAAGGAAAGGAAATCTCGGCCTGTCCGGCCGTCGCGTTGTGTTCGCGATTGTCGTCGCGACATTCGCGAATGGGATTCGTGAAATCTGCGAAACTGTTGCAGTCTAAACGGCGCCCGGCTTCGTCAATCGACGACGTAAACAACGCGTTCCTCGCATGACCGCTCTGACCTTACACTGGTAAGTCGCACGCGCGCGCGCAACCTTGACTTTCGGATTAAGTTGTGTGTAGAGAGGAAGTGAGAAAGAGAGAAAAGAGAGGGAGAGAGCAAAACGCCGCGCCGTGTCATGGAGAAGTAGCGGCGTGCACGTTTTTCCTGGGAAAACAGCGATGTCACTTGCGAGGTATTCGCGAAGACATTCGTGTCGGAACTTCGGAGCGTGGGGACATTTTCTAAATTCATGCCGCTTTGTCTCATACCGAATTGTCTCTTGTTCTTATAATATAGTCTTACGGAATATAATCTTGTACGGAATCTTTAAAATTTATGAACGAGAGGTTCCTCAGTTCCTCTTGTGAAATACTTTTTCTTAGATTATTAATTTCTTCTCTGTGAGACAAAAAACTGAATCATAGTTGATTTAACGAGAATAATTATCATTAAGTTACCAGTAGAGCGACGATCATGTTTATAATTTTTTTGTTTCATTTTTGTACCTGGGGATCAAATATAAATTTTGATTCCAGATATATATGTCATAACTGACATAAATATTCATTTGTTACAGATTGTGTTTGTCGAATAAGCCTGTGTGACTGGTTCAGTTGTTACAACAATTATTAAACTGTTTTTTCCTGTTTCTAGGTAAGTATTTTAAATTGTTATTTTTCCTCTTTGAAAGAGAACTACTTTGAAATGCAGATCACTTCGACTGCCAATATGGAGCAGTGTAACTCTGAATGCTGTTTGCTGTCCATATGTTGTCATTCTAAACCAATTTTATGCTTATTACTTTTATCTCGTTATTTACTCCATTTTGTGTAATAGTATATTATTGTTACACACTGTATCTGAAAAGACACTGTGCACAAGTGTGTGTAATTAATGAAACACAATACACACACACAAAACATATATATATAAAATATCAATCTTCTTTTGTATGATAATTTTTTATATTCTCTGATTTTTTTTATTTATGACAAAAAGTAACTTTAAAATTCTTTGACATATTTTGTTGTTTTATTGGCATTTTGATCTTATTTTAGTTTTATGTAACTATTAGAAGGACACGAAATAGTATTATAGACGTGTTCTGTTGAAGTTTGGATATTGCCAGACTTATTTATGTTGAATAGTGCAATATGATTATTCTTACGCTATTACTGTTTTCACTTTCAACATTTAACTTTTGGGAAAACATAGAAGACTATTTTATATAAAAATTAGCAAGCATTATTACTTTTTGATGACAAAGATTAATAAGTAAAGTTATGATTTTTTTAGATAATTAGGAAAATATTTTAATAAAAATGTTTTTTAACTGTTGAAAGGATAATTTTGTAAATCTTTAAACAGAAACATAAAACTTTTACTCTCATAATAGTTATCAAATTATTTAATAAGATTGCTTAGGTAATGCCATTTATAATTCATTTATAAAATCGATCACAGTGATTTATAAGTAAGTTAGTAAAATTTGTTTACGTCGCGAGAATAATTCATTCCTCTTTGATGAATGTTGATTTATGAATGTAGAGAAATTCTTGTTAAATCATTAATTTAGAATTTCTTTTTTAGTAGTAATTTTGTAATATTTAATAACATTAATCATAGGGGAAGTATGTACATATCAAGCTTCAAATTGCATATTGCCAGGAAATTAATTTCAAACGCGTGTTGATAGATGGCGCTACATTGTATATAGTTTAGCTGTTATTTTTTTTAGTCATATAGTTGAATATTCAATAGTACCAAATTTAGTAGGGTTAGATAGTAACAATAAGTTATAATTAAGTTACAATTAACAATAAGTTATATTTAATAAATAAAAAGTTAAAAAGTTAAAACTTTTAACTTAATTTGATTAGGTTAATTTTAAATGAATTAATTTTTAATTTTATTTAATTATTTTTAAACTGTAATTTATTAATTTTTTTTAAGTTAAAAATTTTTTTTTATCTCCCTAAAAGTCATTAATTTTTTTCTGTAAAATTTTAAACTTTATGCAATTAGTTCAGATAAAGTTCACTCATTGTGTATGATGAATGTGACTCATAATGGTTAAAGCTGAGGTTCGATCTGTATTTAAGAAATGCTGTTGCGTCATTCTATCTTTTTTTTTTATGTCTAATCAGCGATAAAGAAAGAATAAAAACTTTGTATATAATTTTGTACATTTTAAAATATAAAAATACATCTAAAAATATTGAAAATTAGTTTTTGTTGTACAAGAAATATTTTTATTATTTTATATAATTAACAAAAAAATTATAAAATTTATTTGATGATCTATATTGTGATTGTTTTGTTATTTAAAATAATGTAATTTTAAGAAAAATTAGAATATTCTGATTTAATAAATAATGTCTTTAAAAAATAACTTTTTATTTAACTTTAATTAGTTCAATCTTAATATAACTTTAACTGAATTAATTTTTTGTTCATGCAACTTTTAATTTAATTAAGTTAATTTTATAAGCCATTAACTTTAACTTAATTTGATTTAAAAAAATATATGAACTATCCAACTTCGAAATTTATAATAGCCTAGGGAATGTAACAAGAAACAGTATATTTATGGCATGGGACATACAGGAATATCCAAGCCTTTGTATTTTTTAAATAAAAAAAGGTGTCTTAATAATAAGCTATTCTTTTTAATTGCATTAAATCTGCACTGATTATTTGTTTTTTTTTCCTTTCTGAGATACAAATTGTAACATTTTTTAGGAATAGTTTTGATTATACAATATCAGCTAAAAATATCAGTCAAACAATTGCAAAAAACGAAACAAATGATTTAGCTTATAATGGTTATATGCAAAATGATCATATTTTTCTGCAATTTTGAATTAATAACTTTTAATCGAATAAGTGGATCCAAATAAACTTTAACATAAATATTTATTATTATTTGATCAGTATAAAATTTGATTTAATATATAATATATTTCTCAATGACTTAATTCTTATTTCCTCATCAAATATGCAAATAAACAAAACGCGATTTCATATATAAGAATCAAAGCAAATCAAAAAAAAAAATTAAAAACTTTTAAATCAATAAGAGAAATAAGAGAAATTGTGCTTAAATTATAAACAAATATTCAGATGTAATAATAGAACAATTTATGAAATACTTTTATACTTTTTTGATATAATTTTTAGATGTGTACAACCTTAAATCAACATAGTCACACGTTTTTTATATAAAGTCACATTTTCTATATAAAGTCACGGTAAATCAGATGCATTAATAAAATTAAATCTACTAAAATCTCTGATTGTGACAAGTTTGTTAATTAAATATATCATGTACTTCAATATCAAATATTAATACAATTTAAATTAATATTTAACATTATTAATAAAATTTTGTATTTATCGCGAAATTTAAAACGCCTTTCAAAAGGTCAACTTTCTCGACTAGCTCGATTTGATTTGTCTATCCTTTGTGCAGCTTTGCAATTGTTATAAAATTCTTTAATTTGGTCTTGCCCTTAGTTCCTGGATCTAAATGCATAAATCATGTATATTAAAAAAAAATTTTATAACAATTGCAAAATTGTTTTTTGCTGAACGCAGCCTATTTCGGCGCGAATTGAAAACAACATTTCCGCAAAATAATATCGTATTTCAATTTCGAATGACGATGCGTCTGACAAAAGCGTTGGGCTTCCAAGAAGGAGAACAATTGGTTTTCACTCCACG